GGCACCGGTAGTGCCACTTCAGAATCCGATCTGCTGGACTAAAAGGAGAATAGCACTTCACGGGAAACGGCAGACAACCACACCCGCTAGACTTCGGACGAAAGCAAATATAATTTGATAGGACATCAAGCCGCCAGTTTTGACTATTCGTGTACCTGCATATCATAACTTGCCGGGTACGCGCCGTCGTAGACGTCATAGTGGGAATTGCCAGGTTTAGGTAGTCTCTATGCTAGTCAAGTAGCCCATCTTCAGCTCGCATTTAGATATGATAATTTGAAACCCAGCCACTATTTATAACTTAGACACTTAGCTTCAGCTTTGGTTCGTTTAGATAGGTCTCTCGTGTGCAGCCTAAACAACGTCAATTTATAAGCACTGCCACCTGATACACTTGTCTGAGTACTGGATATGTAGAGGTGGCCACAGCAACTCATCAAGGCTGAGCCAATTAGTAGCCGAGGTGAGGAATCTTTAGCGAATTGCGTTATGCCTCGATGAGCCCATCTATAGAACCCGAGCTCTTCGGTATTAACTATCGTCTGTGGTCTTGAAAGTCGGTGCATTCTGTTGAGCGCGAAGCAGCTGCCATTGCCCGTTCTCCTAGACATGGCGATCGTATGGGTCTCATATCCAATTCGAGATCATATTGGGTACTTCATCTCTTTTGTGTGACGATCAGCGGCGTTCAGCCCACCGATGAGAGTTGGTGGTCGCCGATGGATGGGAGCCAATAGAAGTTGAGATATCGTAAGCCATTCTCAGCCGTCCCGTGATATTGTTCGTGAAGCCTCAGAAGCAAAGAGTGCTCTGAGATCCACAGCGCCGAAAAATATCAGTCCGGAGCAGCAGCTCCAAACTCCAGATGAGCTGCTGTATTGGGGTGAGAGGTGTGACCCATTGATCAGCGTCATGCTGCATCAAGTAGAAGTGACAGGAATATAAAAAGGCGTTCGAGAATTCATCGTCCCTGCTCGTCATGCTTATTCAATAGGCTCCAGTGTTGTTCAGCCGCTTGCGTTGTGTTCTTCCATCATAATTCAGATCAAAATGAGGTCTCAAAAATGGGCCGCTCTGGCCGCCCTGGCCTCTTCGGCTGCTGCGATGCCCTGGATGGATGCGCGCCAGTTGAAGACCTACCTTGAACACTCTGATAAGAGCGACCAAGGTTGCCCATTTGCTCAGGCAGCCATAAGGGATACAGATCTCGAATCGGGTTGTCCATTTGCTGCGACAAAGGACAAAGCTAAGCGTTCCTATACGTTCAATGCCGAGGAACAACGTATCAGCGTGGATGGTGAACATGCATTCGTTCCGCCCAACTTCAAGGCCGGGGACCAAAGAGGTAATTAGCCAGTTCCCCATCACTCGATACTTCTCTAATGTTGTATCGCCATAGGTCCTTGTCCTGGCCTCAATGCCTTAGCAAACCACGGATACCTGCCACATAACGGTGTTGTAGACATGGCCACCCTCATTCAAGCCGTAAATGAAGTTTACGGAATGAGCATCGACTTAGGCGGCTTCCTGGCTGTCTATGGCACAGTTTTTGATGGCAACCCATTGTCCACTAATCCTGGATATTCCATCGGTGGTCCTAGCGAATTCAGCCAAAACATTCTGAACGGTCTCGGGCTTCTCGGAACCCCCACCGGTCTCAGCGGGAGCCATAACAAGTACGAGTCGGACGTCAGTGCCACCCGAGGAGACCTTTACGTAGTTGGCAATAATTACGAGGTCCAGCGCGACCGCTTCATAGAATACTACTATGCCATACCAGAAGATACGCCTGCACCGCAACAGTACACGGCGCTGGCCCCATTCCATAAAAAGCGCTTCGAGGATTCCGAGTCCCAAAATGGATACTTCTTTTACTCGCCTTTCGCTGGTGTTCTGGTTTCCCCTGCCGCTTACTCGTTCCCGCCGCGCATGATGGCCAACCACTCCGACGAGTATCCTGAGGGCTACCTGTCTCGCGACGTCTTTGCCTCTTTCTTCGGTGTTGACGGCAACAGTCCGGACAACTTCGAAGTCAAGCATGGATGGGAGCGCATCCCCGAGAACTGGTACAAGCGCCCCATTGACGACGAGTTCTCGATCCCGGACTTCCTCGTCGACGTTCTGGAACATGCCGCATACTACCCTCGGCTGCTTAGCATGGGTGGTAACACTGGGAAGCCGAATACATTCGCGCTCATTGACGTCGGCGACTTGACCGGCGGCGTCTTCAATACTACCTCCCTTGTGGAGGGCAATAACCTCGAATGCTTTGTTCTTCAGATGATACAGGCTGCCGGTCCAGATCTGATTGGAACTATGTTCTCGGACGTAAAGAAGGCGCTGGCACCTTTGACCGACAAGATACAACACCTACTTGCTGACAAGGCTTGCCCACAGCTAGAAAAAGTGAACTGGGAACTATTTAGCAAGTACCCAGGATATACTGAATCATACGGGACGTATACCGGGTTATCGAGTGGATCACCTTCCGGGGTAGCCGAAGGCGCCACGGGACTCGTTGGCGGCCTTATAACAACCGGCAACTAGTCTCACGCCTATCCGACAGTCTATTTGATGAGTTTCCGATTCCCTCCAAGTCAGTTTTGTTCCGTATTGGACATACCTGCTAGAATGGCATAGTCGTAATAGTAATGCATATTAATTACAAGAAAGACACTGTTACAACATGAGAACAGGCTGTAGCTAGATTATCGTCAGCTAATAAAAGACACATACCAAAAATAATGAGTATCAGCTTCCTCCTTCCGCACATCAGGCCGCAGAGAGAAAATAATTGATGGAAAGTTCTCGGAGACAAATTTCTACACAGAACGGTTACCGCCCTAGTAGCTTGAGGCGAAGATGCGTACCTGTTTATGTTGAAGGTCAGGGTACTGGGAAGATGCCACAACTCTACCTATGCCATTCGGACTATTCCAGCGCATAAGGGAATGAATGATAGTTGGCTAGCTAACCAATCTAAGCGGCCTCTATATTCATTGATTAAAGGCTGAGGAGGGACGTATTTCCAGAATATACGACGGAATCGGACATGATCGTCTCAGGCTCCCCAACCTGGTTAGGAGGCGATGCGGTCTGAAAAAAACTTGATAGACTTCGTGGTTGTATTAGTAGTGTAAAGTCTATCAAGTTTTTTCCAGACCACCTCGGGAGGTCCCATTACCCAGCTGCTGGGGTTATGCGTGGAGCTACCGCGGTGTACACTGTTGGTAACTGGCTCGATTGGATAGGCCTCTGACAGGGCAAGGGGCTTAGTCAATCGGTCATCACCACACAGCCACACCCTTTACGCGTCCACTTTCCAATTGAAGCGCATAAGCATAGAAAGGAAAAACCCTGATCAGATTGTTAAATCCTCGTTCGTTCCTAGGGAGTCCGTCTCAGAAACCCCCTCATATTTAATTGCAGCGTGCTGCAGCGTCATACTGAGAAAAGGGTTCGCAACAATGGGGGCTAAGGACTCGCCCGGAGAACTAGCTCATTGTAACCCATCACGGACCAGCAACGTTCCAGTCACGGGTACTCAGCATCATCAATACCAGGACAATCCACCACCTGCATATACCGAATATGCTTCTGGGCAACAACAAGCGCCCGTGCCAATCTCATCGCGAAATCTACGAAAGCCGATCGTCATCCCCGCTACAGCAGCATCACTAGGCTCTCCTTTCCTCAGGGCGTACCCCCGCATCCTCGAAGCTTTTCAAATACCCCGCGAGGAGTTTTTGAACATCCTAGATGGTTTAAATCGTGTTGCTGTACAGAGTCCACCGATTAAAGCTCTCGGCTTGGTCGGGGATGCACTTGGGGTTGTACCCCTATCAACCGCTCAGGTCGTGGGCCTTGCGCTCAATTCAGCAGCAACAATAGGCAAAGTCGCGCTCTCAAAAGGAGCGACGGAAGTCTACTTGCGCAAAGTGAATAAGGAGATATTTGCCCCTCATGGCCTTAAGATGGAGGTTGCTAAGCTGGAGGCTATGGCACGGGTCAATAAGCTTCCGATATTGGATCACACAGGGAGACTTAGAGACGATGCGCAGTTACTGCGGCCGCTTCTAGACTCGCATGAGATACAAACGATGAGTGCAGCGCAACGGTGGCTGCAGGCTTTGGAGCCCTGGGTTGAGCCTTTGGACTTGGAAACTCTGCCGCCTATTAATATGGACACTAGTCTGTGGGGAAGATTACATACTACGGCCTCCGAGTACGAACGAAAGAATAGCGAGAAGAAAATATTGAAAGACAGAAACAAGGCTCTGGAAAAACACCAAAAGGAAGTTGATAAAGCCGAAGAAAAGAGAGCAAAAGACTTAGCCAAGCTAGAGAAAAAGGAGCAAAAGGCACGTGATGACAGCCGTAGTCGTAGAGTTGACGACAAACTCCGCAAAATCGACGAAAAGAGAGAAAAGACGGAGTTTAAGCATCAAGGAAGAGTAGAAAAGGCATCAGAGGATTCAAGGGCAAAGGATAAGGAAGCCAAGGCTATGACAAAGGTGTTGTGGCTGATAATCCGAAATGTGCATGAGGACAGCGGCGCTGGAGGGGCTATGGATATCTACGAAGATTAATGAGATAAAGGCTTCTTGAAAGTTGTATGGAGATGTAATAGAGATAGCTTGATATAGATATGCTTACATATATAGTGTTGTACAAGTTTCAAGGTCGTGAGCTGTATTTTTGATAGGGTCTGTCGGAAGATGATTGACTCTGCTATCATCCGCAATATTATATACAGGCGTTTGTGGGTGCTGTAGGTAAGTATAACTCAGTTACCAATATCATCGGCCTTGTGTCATTGGAATATTTATATCATCAACCCTTATTACACAAGAATATTCCCATTGCACTCTCGGATCCGCTGTAATTTTCCTCATCTCACTCATCTCTCATGGGTCAAAAGCGGCGAGTCGCCTTACTTGTCTTGTAAGGAATTTTATAGCCTCGGGATGAGAGCGATCACTGAGTTAAAAAAATATTATTAACCGGGACAGGATTCGAACCTATGTCTCCCTAGTACACATACCATAGTACAGCGTTCAGGTGTGCTTCCACTACACCACCCGGTAGAGATGTAACATGTTTATGAATTAGACCTCTATACCAACACCTATATATGTATTAGTGTAAAAACTATGAAGCTAGCTGTTTATTAGGTTTTAGTATTAGCACTTAAACATTCACGATCGAACCTTCATGTTTTAAATGCAGCAAAGACCTTACTTTTCTAATATAATAAAGTACCGTAATGAGAAAATGTGGGGGCAAAGAAGCGTTCTTTTTAAAAAAAAGCGTTGTCTACAAAATAAGCGTTGCTTACTTAACAAGCGTTGCTAAGATTTTAGCTAACGACAGTTGCCACACAGCTGCCAAAAAGCTATCAAAAAATAAATTTTTTATATAAGTTATCATTACGTTTATATATCATAAATAAATCGCAAACAATTTATTATTTAAAGCTATTTAATAATTTTTTTATTGCTAATTTTTTTATTACCGCTTTAAATACAAGTTTTAATCTGCTAATACATAATCTTAAAGCTAAATAATATAAATTAGCACTATACTAAAAAACGCTAATTAATGTAAATAAACACTATATTAAAAAAACGCCGGTTAATATAAATAAACACCATGCTAATAAACGCTAATTAATACCATTAAATATAAAAAAACTTAAAAAATTTATTACTTTAAAGCAATAATTGATCAAATAAAAAGCTTAATAAAACCGGGCTTAATATTTAGCTAAACAATTAGCATATACCTTTAAAAAACTTAAAAACTTTTAATTTAAAATATTAACATCACTAATAGCAGTATTATTATCGTCGGCAGTAGAAGCATCGTTTAAAAAGTTATAAGCACTATTATAAAAAATGATATACTTTTTAAAAATATTAACTGCAGCATTATTATTACTACTGCTACTATTACCGCTGTAACAGCTAGGTTTAGCACTTTAAAGAAAATTAACAAGACTTTTACTTTTAATGCTGCAAGTTTAGCAAAAGCTAAACTCTTTAAAACTAATAAACTAGCAAACAAAAAAAAAAAGGCCTATAAACTAATAACTAAAAAAAAAAGAGATTAAGCTGCAATTAAATGTTTATCGAGATACTCGACTAAATAATATAAATAAACTAAAACTAAGTTTAATACTAAAAGCACAACCACATTTAGCACTACTGCCTAATAAACAAGGGTTAATGGGGCTTAATCTATAAAAAATGCTATAATTAAAGCGCTAAGATTTAATACTAAAAATAAAATCGCGGCCGAGAGGTGCACCAAGCGTGCTAAAGTAAGAATATATAAGAGGAAGATTAATTAAGATTAAAGATAATCCATAACTAATAAATATATAACAAAATTTAAAAGTCAGCATATTAAGCTCGACCGATATACTTTCTAGAGTTTAAAAACCACCGTAAAAAATAACAACAATAAATCGAAGATTAAATAAACTATAATGACTTAAACTACCAGATAATCCGCTAAAACAGCTACTAAAAAAACTATTACTAAAAAAACCACCATTAAAAAAACTACTTTTAAAAGAACTACTAAAAAAACCACTAGATTAACTAGTATAAGCTCGCAGGCGTGAGCTTAAAGTACTAAGAGAGCTTTAATTAAAAGATTTATTAAATATAAATTGAGATATAATTTAAGAAGCACTTTTTTTATAATCGCGAGGTGTAAAAACAGCAAGTTAATCAAGTATTTATTTAAACTTATTAAGTTTAACTTTATTAAATCAAAAATTAATATATATAGTGTTAAAGAGCACGCTAAGTTTATCGCAATTATTTTTATCTACTTTTTACTTAAAGAGCGCTTTTTTACCCCAACAAAGATTTATATTTATCGCGAGTTCGTTATTGATTAAAGAAAACATTTTAATATTTATATTTAAAAACACTTGTTGTAAATACTACGCTCTAAAGTTATTACAATTAATAAAAGTTTATTTAAGATTAAAAACACAAATATAATTTTTTTAAAGAAGCCTTACGAGATTTTAATTAAATCAAGTTTTAAAAAACTTAGCAAGTTTATTATTTATTTTAGTAATAATGTTAAAAAACTTATTATAAGTTTTAAAAAAATAAGTCTACAAATAATTAATATTAAAATAATAATATAAACTAAAACAAAGGAAAAAAGTATAAAATAATAAATAAAAAACTTATATAAAACTTTTTATAAAAAAAATTATGTTTAAGGTTATAAATATTCTTTAAACTATACTTGCACAACTTATAAAAAACATAAGTGGAGTAGTTAAGCTAAAAAAACTTGGTTTTAATAACCTAGCCGATACCCTTAAATATACTAAAAACAAGGAAATATTTTGCTAGTTTATAAAAAAAAATTGTTTTTATCTAAATATACTATTTATTATTAATAGTGTTGTTTTTTTAAAAGTAAATAATATAATTAATATTTATCAATAAATTATTAATAATTTTTTTTATATTCTCGCGAGTTAAAAGTAAAAATATTCTTAAATAAACATCCTTAATTATAATAAATGCCTTGTTTTTTTTTGTTAATTTTTTTGCAGCAAATAAAACACTAGGTATTAAGCGATAAAATGGGCTTAAAATAAAACCAGGGCTTAAGGTGCCACTTAAAACAGGAGCACTTAGACCCGGGGTAGCAAAAAAGCTTTATAAGTGAAAAAAACCAGGCTATAAAAAAAAATATTAATAAATTAAAGAATCGAAGATAAAGAAAAGGCTTGGACTAACCGCTATTGTAAAAAAATGCTGCTTTTGACAAGGAGCAGGTAGACCTTTATAACCTCGTTTTAAGCTAAGGGGGCTAGCAAAACTACTAGCGCTTAATATTGTGATGAGATATTAACAGGTGGTTAGTTTTATAAATTGAGTAAACTTTAGCTAAATTTTTCGTAATGTAATATTAAGATGTGTATTTAATATTATATTTATATTGAGGCTAGGTGACGTATATAAAGTGGTAAAATACTCAAGCAAGCTTTTTTAGCAATATAAAACGCTTAAAAACCGCGTAATCTAGTACATATAACATATCTCAAAATATCTTTAATAAATAAAGAAATAAAATAAATCACAAGCTATAAATTAACTTATTTCTTTGCTGGTATAAAGTGACAGATGCTGGTTAATTAAGTGGTATAAAATCTCCGAACATAAAGTTAGAAAAATAAATAAGTTGAAGAAGAAAAAAAAAAAAAAAAAAACCAAAAAAGAATTAAGACTTAAAAACTAAGCAAAAACATGCTTATACTTAAATACCCAAGTATTAATATACTTTTTAATAGTGTTTATTATTATTATTATCGTTATTATTGCTGCTATAATAATTATATAAAAAACAAGTTTAATATTATAACTACACCCTTTAAAAACAAACTTAGCAATTATTAATATAATTTATAAAAAAAAAAACCTTGCTGCTATAGCTACTATATTATTACTAAGGGGTTTTAGGCTTTAAAGCGCTAACAAAGTGAGCATTTTACGCGGTAGTTATCTCAGTATATACTTATAAATACTGCTAAATAATATTTTTATAATAACAGGCTTAACCTTTAAGTGCAAGCACAGCATATAAACAATATTGCAAAATTTAAGTTAAAATTATTGTATATAAAACTTTAAGTAAAGCTTACAATACCAGCTTAACAACTTATCACTACTTTATATTAAAAACATAAACTTCTTTAATTTTTTATTAATTTTTAATTAAAAAATAATAATATACTTTATAAAAACAGCAGATTATAAATATGCCTTTAAAAGTGCGCAGCTTTAATTTACTAACTTTACGCCTTAAAAAGCCTTAGCATGCTTAAGCACCTAAAACAAGCGACAATAAAATCGACAATAGCCTTATTCCGGAAAGCCAAATACATAATACCCTGCTCGAAAGATATAAAAATACTTTAATAGAAAATACTATAAATATTACTGCGCTTAAAAAATATATTGCTCTACATAACAACAACGCTATATATATAGATGACATAGAGATAACTAACACTTATAATAGCAATAGTTTAGCTAATGACAATATGTCCAACTTTTTATTTAATAAACAAAATAATAAGTTATTTATTAATTTATCTACGTTAACGCTAACAACATTATTTATAAATATTAATACTTATTATAGCTATTATTAATTTAAACAATATTTACAATAGCGCTGTTTAAAATGTCAAGGATTATATTATATAGCTTAATAATAATAATTTAGCCGGCGCTTTTAGCTATAATAAAGCTATTGAATTAAATTTTTAAAAGCTTAAGTCGATATTTTTTAATGTTTTTAACAATATCGCCGCTGATAATAATTTCTTTACGCTTTAGGTTACACCAGCTAATAACACCAAAGTTTATAATATTTTAATTTTACTGCTTATGTATTAAAACAAGTTTTTAAAGACTTTAAAGTTTAAAAAAAGCCTCGCAGTATATGCTAATTTCTATAACATTAGTCGCGATTAGTGAGCGTTTTTACGCGAGATTCTTATAATTATTACAAACAATAATAATAAAATTCCCACAAATATTGCTAAGCTACTTAAACAGCTATTAATTTTAATTAATTATTTTTATAAACAATTACTTTTTATAAATATACGTAAAGCTATTATTTTTTTTAAAGTAAAAAAGCTTTCAACTAAAGCTTATACTTATCGTACTAAATTAATCGAAAATTTTCAAGAGTAAATTCATAAAATAAAAGAAAGTTATAAAAAGAAAAAAAATAAAAGCAAGGCCAAGCAAACTAGCGATAATCAAAGTAATCGTAAAGCCAAAATAGCTTTTCTCGCGTCGACAAAGCTTATATTTTTTAATTCTTTTATTATCGCTTAAAATTTTATTTTTTTAAATATTTATATTAAAAATATATATCGCGGTTTAAGTATATTTATTAATAACCCATTTAAGCTTTTTTATTTTTATATATAAACAAGTTTTATTTGCTTATTTAATAAGGTTTACTTTTATTTTTTTATCTTTAATATAACTATTTTTTCCGGCGATTTTTTATACTATAAATACTTCAACAA